TACAATGCCTGGTATGATTCAGATTCTTCTCTTTGGCTTTGGAAACAAGAGACTACTTTTGTTGAAACCTGAAGTGCATAAAAGGAAATAGTTGAATCTCACCAATTCATTTTATGTTGTCTGCTACTTCAGGTACGGCTTGGGAATGATTTACTACAAGCAGGAGAAGTTTAACCTAGCTGAGATTCATTTCAAGAAGGCTTTGAGCATCAATCCTCAGAGCTCTGTTCTGCTCTGTCATATTGGAGTGGTGAGTAAATCTAATGTAGGGAAAATAGTGTCTGTCTAAAGTGATCCAGCCGTAATTTGTGGGCCACATGCTCTTATTTCTTAGGTAAACGACAGTGCAAGATTGTTACTTGGAATTTGGAATGTCAGACTAGCTCTATATGTACTTGTTGCATTGCTACATCTTTATATCCATTCTCATGTGCTCCAAATCAGGTTCAACATGCTTTGAAAAAATCAGACCATGCACTGGAGACCCTGAACAGAGCCATTAGCATCGACCCCAAGAACCCGCTATGCAAATTTCATAGGGCCTCTATTCTCTTTGCCAATGAAAAGTACAAGGTACTTCTCAACTTCTTACATCATTCGGCCAAGATGATATACATTTTTAAATGTTAAGTAACTAATTTATTCTTCACAGGCGGCTCTTCAGGAGCTTGAAGAGCTAAAGCAAATAGTGCCCAAAGAGTCCCTTGTTTACTTCTTAATAGGAAAGGTACACCTAAAGCTCAGCTACTTACTTGCATATATTTTACATCAGCTATATGCTGATATGATCATTTTAAAAACGTCCACTAAACAAATGTACATCATCTTTATAGGTCTATAAGAAGCTTGGCCAGACTCATCTGGCACTAATGAACTTCTCCTGGGCCATGGACTTAGACCCCAAAGGGGCCAATAATCAGATCAAAGAGGCCATAGATAAGCGATACCTCCCAGATGATGATGAACCTGTCACTCCTGATGACTATCCCTACTACTCAAGTAAGTATCCTACCCAGTGAGCCATTTAAGTGGTGCTGTGTGCTCTATCTAATGTTGTTGCTTGGTCTCAGCAGCGGAGGTGGAGGAGTCACAGGAGAGCAGTATGACGGATGCTGATGACACACAGCTCCACACCGCGGAGAGCGATGAGGTTCTGTAGCCCCTGGACACCACTCTGGACTTTGAAAAAAATGCCAATTTGGGGGCTACTCGAAGACTCCAGCTCTGAAAAAGGAGGAAGAAGAAATAAAGGAAAACAAACTGCTGCTAATAACAGTACCTCCTCATTTCTGTCATTTTTTTTTTTCCATCATTCGTTCTTGCCTTTTTCCACCCCCTCGTCATCATGCCTTAGAGGTCTCTCATCGGTCTGATCTTCTGGTCCTGTCTCATCCCTCATCGTCACTGGCATCGTCACCTTTATCGCAGACATGATCACTTGAAGAATTCAAGTTATGTCTGAGCTCAAATTGCCCTTATTTGCCAATGACTCCACTGTCTTCTCAACAAGTTAATTGTCAATTTAAGACTCAAAAAAGAGCCACAGACATTCATCGATGTTCCTGTCTTAATGCGTAGGCCTTTTATGTTATTTTATCAGCATTTACTCTGAATAAAGACCTGTGTAAGAGTTGGTAGTCCTTTGATTCCTCTCCCCTCCCTTTTTCTTCATGGAACGTAATTGCTGGGAGAAAAAAAAGCACTTTCTGCCCACATCCAAATAAAAAACGTGTTTGGCTTAAGAGATTCAATGTAAACTGCATATATTCTATCAGATTGCCATCTGTTTTGAAGAAAAATCTTTTGGAAAGTTAACCATAGAAAGTACTAGTTCTGGATGATGCATTTTTTTTCCCCACCAGATTTTTAAACTTCTGAGTGATACTCAAAAAGCACTTCTTATGTTTTATTTTATTTATTTATTTATTTTCAGAACATTTTGCCACTCTCACACTCATCTGTTTTACTCTAGCAGTTATGAACCCTCAAAACATCTGCATCCATATTTTTGCCTAGCTGCAAGACATGAAGAATTGTTGATTAAACGATAAGCGTATGGGTGTGGTGGTTTCCTTGGCACACATTAGACTTACTCTGTGTTTAGGAACCCATACCACAATGTCCAAATTTACAACACTATTGTATGGCACAGTGACCAGTGGTCAGACTACTTGAGACAATTTTCTGAAATGTTGGTGCTGTTGAGGATAATACTGATGAACATAGAAAATGTGCACAAAGTATCTTTCATGGATTTTATTTTACCAGAACATGTTTATTATTATAAAATGTTTTTGATCTCTGCTAAATGCTTCTTATTGTACATTTTAAGGAATTAAAAGGTAATAGAATAAACGACTTTGACTGAAAGTCCTGATGTGTTCATTGAAGAAAAATACGAAACCTGTACACTAATCTAAACTTGGCTTTTTCTTAAACACTGTTCAAAAGTGCATAGGCTCGTAAAATTACCATTGGTTTTCATCAAAATGCCATGATTCCACTCGAATGCCTACAGTTACTTATACTGCTGTAAAAAACAATTGAAATGTGATGTTCCTTCACTGTACAATGTAACAAGGTTTCGGCATTTTTAACTTAATTATAAATGTCTAATAATAATGTATTTCCATAGATATGCGCTCACATTTATAAAATAGCTTGCGACAGTTGCGAGAATGACAACAACAGACAAAGATACTGCGATATTAAGCTATATAAAAGGCCTGAGGTATGTTCAAACGTGACGGTGTGTTGGGTACTTGTATATTTAATACACAATAAATTCAAACAAATAAACAAAAATCAACTCTTTTGCAAAGTCACATATTTTTTTACTTTCACTCGTAAGCCCATCTCTCACTAAAAACACATAAACCAGCCAATCAGCGGACGGCTTTCCACCCACTGACCAATCATAGGTTGAAATGAGGCGGTACTTCCGGCTCAAGTCTGGTTGATCTGTGCAGGTAAGTGAACGTGAATTCTGTACTCTGTCATGTAAAATATACTTATTTTGCTGTTTTAGTATGGGAAAAAATACTGTTTTCAACGTAAAATGTTGTATAAGGTCTAAATGAAAACGCTGTTTCATTTTTCATCTCATTCAGGAGCGGTAGACATAATGACAAAGTAATTTCATCCCGGAGATTGCAGTCAACAGGCCAAAAATTGTTTGGGTTCAAAAAAATCTCTCAGTCCATCAGAATTAACCTCCAAATAAAATCAAACCAACTATACAATTGTATTTTTCCTGTAGTTGCAAGCGAGAATGTCAGCTAAAATTGTACCCTTTGAATTCGTCTTCAAGATGTGAGTGGTGATGAAGGAAAGGCTGTAATACAGCAGAGACTGTCAGCTGATGATGTTAGCATGCTAAACCTACTGTGAACGGGCATGAGTAAACGAAATTAATACTGAACTTAATTTATTTTTTTAATCTAATTTAATTGCAGTAAATCTGCCATTCTTATTAATATTTTTATTATACTCTACACGTTTTATTTATTATATTGGTATTGATTGTACGTTATAGTTGTGTTTCAAAACCTAGTGAGCTGCCTACTAAATCAGCATATTGAACGCACGTATTATGGCAGCTTACGTGCTTTTGAAACACATTCCGAAACTCCATCATCTGGCTTCAGATGCCGTTTCTAATGCGCTGTTTGTTTTGTATTTTACTTTGTTAGTCTTGTTTTTATTTTATTTTTTTTATCTTATTTTGTTTACATTCCACTGATCTGACTGAACTAACTTTATGAAATAAGTTCTCTCCTGTTATTGTCTCCCAAAGATCTGACTGTGATAAGTGAAAGACATGATGCATTTGCAGCTTTATATTATGTAATGAATATGTAGGTGTAATATTTTAAAACTTTTAAAATATAAAGTTTAAAATTGTGCAATTTAGATTAAATATTATTTTAAAAAATACAATTAAAATCATGTATGTTATTGTTAGAAATATGGGCTATTAAAATGATAAATGTATATGCTAACAATCTTTTTTGTTTGTTTGTTTTCCAGACTGCAGGTTGGATCGCTGTCTGTTTGTTTTTGAGTTTACAAGTTACATTTGGATTAATAATGGAGGTTCCAGTAGACCATAGACTGAAACCAGTCATATCTAAGGTCTGACACTCTTAAGTTATTTTCATGCTTATTTACATTTATTTGTAATATATTATGGGGATGTGTAGTATCTCTGTAGTATGTATACTGTACGTTGTTAGAATTATCAAAAAAGGGTCAGCTAAATAACCAGTACCACAGAAAAGAAGTAAAAAAAAAAATAGTATTCCCATTTTAAACAGTAGATGGTGCTGTCTTTTTATTTATGAGGGCCCCTGTAAACGGGAAGCTCTAAACCCTCCTTATGGTTGCATAATTTCTAACCTCTTATGATAAAAGCCCATTATTGCCACATAGTGTTAAGCGTATTTTGATTTATATTCACTTTGTTGTTCATTTTTGTCTTTCTGTTTGCAACTACAACTACTAATACAAATCTTGTATTTAAGTTCACACGCAGGGGTCTTGTATAACATTTATCTTATTCTATAGTGGTTATTTGGTCATATTCCACTTCACTTAGTATTATTTTCTTGAACACTTCATACCCCCTTGGTCACTTTAGAGCACTTCAGATGCCCTTGAGTTCCCTCTACTGGTACATTTGTTTTAGAACTTCTTTCTAGAAATGTGCAACAACAGGCAGGGCTCTAGGCACTACTTCCTGTGCTGTTTTCATCCATATTTTATAGTATGTTATTATGTTTAAACTTAAACATTTGAATTATGGTAAAAATTGATTCTTGCTGTTTTCGACCAATTATGCGTCTGCTTGAATAAGATTTATTTGGTGATGATGTAGTTAAATGTACGTCTAAATTTGGCGCCCCCTAATGTCAAGACGCATGATGTCAGGAAGCTTGGCGCCTCTAGCGACCAGTCAGAGTAGCGCGTCTCTCTCCCGCCACTGCGCCGCTCCGCTTCTTTCTGTTTGTCAGACTCGCAATCCGAGGGAGAGGAGCGAGCCGCCATTTTCCGAGCTCGTTGCTTCCCCCTCGAACGACAACAATAAAAAAACGGACGAAAACGGGGTTTTAACAGCCGAAATCTTAAACGAAGACCTTTAGGAGAAGGAGAGAAGGGATTGCGCTCAAAGAACGACCGGAAAAGGGATACATTTCTCTGTTTTTACGTGGCTTTTGTCGGGGGCGATTGAAAAACAGCCGACTGGGCTCCTATAGCTCGACTGCCCCCGTTTCTTTCGCCCATTTCGTGATTCCTAAACGCAGCCTGGAGGAGTGGGAGGAGGAAGAGGAGGGGGGTTACCGAACACCGGAGCGCGCGAGAGGCCGGGGATTTTTCCACCTGAACGTGCAACAGTGGAATCTGCATCTGGATAATTGCTTCTGCCTGTCAATTATTACTACTATATTTTTTTTAAGCGTGGGGATTTATTACATCAATTTCCCCCGGAATCGGCTCCTCATCACGTGGTAGGTTCCTCCTTTTCTCTTTGTTAGTTTATAACTCGGTAACGTGAGGCAACTTCAGACATTTTTAACGCAATTATGCACTAAATCGACGTGCGGTGAAATAGTGCATGTCGAGGGCGCGTTAACTCTATAAATGCGGCTCAGATCGGACGCCTTTTGCTCTCGGTAGTTATTTTCCACGGTTTGTTCTGGTTAAACTCATAAAGTAGGCGGCGTTGAAAGTCAGACCATCAAGGTTGCAAAATCAGCCCGACTAGCACAGACATAATAATACGTGTCAACTTTACGAAAGCACGTAGTTGGTAATCACACATGAGACGAGTTCGTTCACTCAGAGGCTTTTGCATTGAGTAGGTTAAACCCATGCAATATGCGCGTTTGCGATCATGGGTTGGGTGCGCAGTATATGTCTGTCTGCTGCATCTAGATCAGTAGGGTTTCGCCTGTGCTGTGCGAATCCTGTGCATTGCATTAAGATCTGTTATTGGATGTTGTCTCAGGCCTGTGCATCACATGGATTTCCAGTAATACAGATTAATTAGACAGTCAACGCGTACTGTCCCTTTAAGACTCACAAACAAATTGAGTTCTTTTTTTTATTATTTTCTAATATCTTTTAAAGAAAACAAATAACACATACATTTGATTTCCGGGGTCTGTTCAGTACTGAATATACGCATGTATGTGTAAAAATGATGCAATCGTACGGTAAACAGTTACAACTTTTGCATTGAGACTGGACACGGGGAGTTTTCCATAACTAGCTGTATTACATAATATTTGGTTGTTTTTCCCCCTTCCCCCTTTGGTTTGCCCTCGCCCCGCTGAACCGGACTGACGTCGCGAGAGAATTTTTTGTAGAATCTTCTCTCTCCTCGCGCCGCACAACCATCGGCTGCGTCTCGAAACGTAAGCGAAATGATGTCCAAAAATGCTGTTTTGGTAGGCAACACGCCAGCTTTCGAAACGCAGCCAGCGATTCTTTATGGCCTTCAGCTCGCCCTAGCCCCTATTTTCCGTATAATTCGGGGGTTTATTTATATTTAGCTCAGTATTTTGCCTGGTTGTGGACAGCAGATGGCTTTAGGTGTAACAGAACATTAACCTGCTCAACCTGTGGTTAGTTTAACGCGCTGTACTTTTCCATTATATAATGTGTTACGTTGCATATTTTTCGCAGCACACCATTGATATCAGGTCTCAAATATAACAGGTTCCGCATGTGTACGTGATGTTTATGGTTTGAAGAGACATTCGTGATGTATTGTCCCTCATTAATGACGTCTTTTCATTGTTATGCCTTTTGTACCTTAACATGTTTAGCCCTTTTTTTAAGACATTCAGATACATTATATATTGTCTGTCCCACAAGACATTGACTGTAATTTATTAAATGGTGGCCTGCTTGTCGTTCTGAAACCTTGTTGTTCCTAGATGGGGTTAAAACATGGTTGAAACAAAGACTTTCCTAGACCCAAACCTCCCCCCTCGTCTGATAGATGGATACATACTGTATTGATCCTTAATGGTAAATGCCATGTCTCTCTCTTGTGCTGTTTGTGCCGTTTGCTCTCTTATTTCCTGGTTTTGAGGTCTTTTTGTGTTCTGTACTGGAAAAGTGTGGACCCCCCCCCCCCTCTCCAAACTAGCTCTATATTACATTGACTGCACAGCAAATGTATTGAATTGTTAATGTCTGTCTGTGGGATATTTTAAGAGTCTCCAGGGGTCGACATATGATTATGAGCTGTTGTGTACTTTTCGTTCCATCCAGATTTATCATTGTCCTACGTCCCCTCCTTACAGGAAGAGCTGTTACGTAACACATCAATACCATTGACTAAGTGCTTTAATTTTTTTCAAGGCGGTGCAGTCATTTGGAAATCTCATCAACACTTTTTTTCCTTTGCTTCGTGTTTTTGGTGCATAAATAAGTACTAAATATGCTTTAGGTAGCCTAAATTGTTTGACCTTAAAGTCATTTAGACACCGTAGTGTTTTTTAAGGTATTCATAAAAATCCAAAAATTTGTCTATTTCTTTCTAGACATACTTGATATACCTTTTGTGTGGGCGCCACATTTCTCAGCTGTTGAGCTGCATGAAATTATTTTTGTCTCCCACACTGATGAAGGCTGTCCAAGTGAATTTAAAGAGAATTGAATTATTGCTTTATGGCATTTAAATCAATCTTCCTGTAATCCTTTTATGATCCATTTGAGTATTGATACCCTTGCAAGTCTGTGCAAGTCACAGTCAATGTCAGTTTGAAGTACAAGTCTGCGTCACAAAAAGTACCTGTTTTTGTCTGACTCAAAAACCCCAAGGCCTGGCTTTATTTTAAACTTAAAAGGCTTAGCTTCTAACTTGTATCTGTTAAGTGTAATTTGAACTCCGTTCTCCTTGGCAGGGCATTAGATTGGCAGGACTTTGGGAGGTTAAAAATTAAAAGTGCAAGCTACTTGCAAACAGTGTCTGGAAACATCAAGGTTGTTCTTCTCTCTGGAAAGTTCAAGGCCGGGACTGAAGACATCCACCGGGCCATTTGGCTGGGAGCAGAGAGAGGAGTCAGTCAGATTGTGAGACGGGACCACCTGTTTAATGTGTTTGGGAAAAAGAACCTGACACGGTGGCCTGTATCCAGAGAAAACCTTTGTAGTTTTAGTCCAATTAACATGAATTCTCTGTTACAAGGGCAAGTGTGTCTGTTTTACAAACAACAGCACTTTTTTGTGTGCAAAGCTATTCACTCTTAAGTCTTTTTAAATTAAACACTTTTTTTTTATTTCAGTCTTAAAGGGCTTCTGTAAGTAAATTCCCCCTACTGGGAATACTTGAACCATATGGAAGAAATCAAAGCTTTCCAGACTCCATGAGAATGCCGAGTTGACCTTCTGCCTCTGAAGTCGAAATTTCCTCCTTTTTTGTAGATTGATCTTCTGAAGAGAATGATAAACCACCACTGTTTATTAAACGAGCTGTGACAGTTGTTGAAAGTTGTTAGCTAAGGTTAGGCCAAACCTAGAGTTTAAAGTTCATTTACCTCCCACAAGGGTAGTTGTCATGAAAAACTTTAGGGAAATTGACATGTCCAAGTGGTGTGACATGCTCTAAAGCAGGAGTCCCCAACCCGTCGATCGTGATCGACAAGTCGATCTTGGAAGCATTTTAAGTCGATCGCGAAGAGTTTTCAAAATCAGAGAAAAAACACCAATATTTGTATTCATTATTATTTATTACTTAAAAATGCACCATGTGTGAGCCTACTGTGTGTAGTAAATGGTGTCTAGGGGATCCAGAGGCGCGCGCGCCGTTACAATGACGTCATTTTTGGCTCATGCGGACGCGTCGAGTATAAACAAGGCTTCACGCTTTAACCAGCTCAGCCACTTCACACTACGCTCACATCAAGCTCTTCAAGCTAACGATACGCAAGCTAACGAAACGATGGCACAACGGTGAGGGAGTAGGCTATTGCTAGTTTGAAATCTGCAGGGGTTTTCCTGCATAGACAATTATGAGGCGGTCGCCTCCGTCAAATTTATAGTTAAGAAACAATATAACGTTATAGACGACCAGAGTGCTGTTTTCCTGAATGCAAGCACGATTGAAACCAAGATATTGATTTCATAACAGTTCAATAAACAAATAGCCTAGTTAAAATTAAGTTACTTACATTTTTAGACGCAATTACTGTTTTTGTTCTGTTTCAGCAGCGAAAATAGTTCCAAACAACAGAACCAGCGCATCTCACAGCAACACTCATCCATTATTCATCACTGAATGATTCAGCGTTTTGACCTAATCGCTCGAGTCAAAGATTCAATTAACGTTACCCATTATTAAACCGCCTCATTCTGAATCAATCAGCCGTTTGAACGAATCGTTTGAATGAATGACTCAATGACTCGCTCATTAAGACGGCCGCCTGCCACTTCTACTGGCGGTTTAGTTTCAAAGTATCATTCTTTTCAACATTCCTTATTTGTATATTCAAAAAATATTCAAAACAATCTCATAATCTCATTTAATACAGTTATAATTTTTCAATGTAAATTATTTAATTTGATTGGTAACAGCCTTGTCTTATTATTTTAATTGAATGTAGCCTATTGATAAAATGTAAGAATTTGAAATGAAATTTAGAGCATACCAGTACATTTAATAAAATTAGGGGGAAAATGCCCTTTATAAAGGTACAAAAAATTATTCCGATAAGAGTGTTTTCAAAAATGAAACATTGACAATTTAAGTTTAAAGGTAGTAGGCTAGAGCTGTCGCGATAGTCAATATATCGACTTATCGCACGATATATGGAAATGACCGCGATCATTTTTGGTGCGGCGATATATTGCAACTGATAATTTGTTTTATTATTAAAAATAATAATTAGATTTATTTTTACATTACAATGAATGTCACCAACATTTTAGTTGATCGCGCTGCCTCTGTCATCTTGTCTGCACTCTGAGTCGGAGGCGGGGCTCAGGCAGCGTGTCCACACACACACACACACACACACAGAGAGAGAGAGACCGTCAGGTAAAGAGAAGGCGTGAACCAAGTGTTCTGTTTCGTGACATCTACAGCGAGCCAGTTAGGAATAACGAGTCCAACATGGAATTGAGCCATGTGAGTGATTCTATTCAGAGTGAACACGGTGAAAGATATGAATAAAAATGATGTTTATTCAGCCAGCTCACATACCTGTATTTACTTCCTTTTTTCGGTCGAAGTCCACAGTAGTCAATTGTCCAGTTTGCGGGCGCGATCATTAGTTATCTTGGTTACCAATGATCGCGCGCGCGAACTCGACAATCGACTACTGTGGACTTCGACCGAAAACAGGAAGTAAATACAGGTAGGCTATGTGAGCTGGCTGGATAAACATCATTTTTATTCATATCTTTCACATCTTTATTCATATCTTTCACTGTGTTCACTCTGAATAAAATCACTCACATGGCTGTTCACTTAAAATGACACATCAAGGATGTTAAC